GCAACCCTTTTCATTAATTTTATTACAAAATTTACCAGAATAACTGTTTAAGAATTGCGTTAAAATCTTTTTTGCTAGTTTGCATTTCTTTTGAATCGTTTTTAATAAATTGAATTACAGCAAAATAATTTACCTAATGACAATATTCTCAAAGAAACATTCGGGATGAATTTGCTTGTTCTCCCTCCTACTTTTTTTTTTTTTTTGACAAGCATTGTTTCTAGCACCTTTTAACTTGGTTATATTGTGTATGTAATAATGAAAAATAACTTGAAATCGATACGGTATAACAGCCTTCTGCTTTTGTGCTGATTACAAAATAAATATATGTAAAAAAAAGTTAAAAATATAAAAGAAGAAGTTAAAAAATATAAGACGTTTAAGACTTTATTTTATCTTAATTTTGATTAAAAAATTCATATTGTAAATTCATAAATATGTTTCTTAAATGTTATTGAAGTTAAACAAAAAAAATATTTGCTATCAAACTTATTTTATTGGAAAAAAAAGTTTTTTTTGGGCCATTATTTCAGTTTTGGGGGATGTTTGAACTTTTATCTAATCCATATGTAAACCCCTAGTTATGGCAGTGAGGCTTATTTCCATGCGACTCTATCTTTTAGTATGTATGTTATAAATCTAGATGAAAGTTATAGGTTAAATAATTATGCTCTTGTAAATATGTTAATTTCTTGCATTTTTCCCGTTTTCATTTGTTGCCACAAAATTTTCAATGAAATTATGATAGAAAAATTATAAAATGCTGATTTGACAAAAATCTAATAATGAATAGTTTTATTTTATTTTTATTTAAAACAGACTATTTTTTATCAATACCAATCAAACCTCTAATAAAATATTTTAATAATGCTTAATATTAATGAAAAGCATTATTATAACCTTGTTCGCTGACTCACCGGAACTCCAAAGATTGCTAAAAATTATATATAGTTTGCTTTGCATACCATGCTCGCTACTAAGTTAAGCCCATTTGAAATGTGTTCCAGTTTGAAGTCTTAAGAATTTAAATCAACTATTAAAATCTTTAAAACTAATTCCTCTTTAAAAATTTAAATTTTTGATCAATGATGGGTTATTATGCTTTTAAAAAAACAAAATAGGACAATGAATACTTGTTTTTCGATGAATAACAAGAACAACGAATAAAATTATTATTATTAAACCTGCATAAGCATAATATAAAACATTTTGTGTGTTAATATGAACTATTCGCTTTTAACTTTTCAATTCTTCCAACTTATAGCTCAGTTTGTTTCAGCTTTTCGTTGTCCGTGCGAGAATTTTCACTCAGAAATTTGTAAACATGTATGTTTACGCTTTCATGCTTATGACAGCTCACACGCTTAATATTTCAATTCTTTGTTTCTAACGCGAAAAAGAAATGAGGATTTTCTTTGTCACCGTGTAAGAGAAATATATGTATGAAACAACGTTTCTTAAATTGGTATTTTCGCATTTGACGCCTGTTTTGTAACACTGAATTTGTAAATGCTTACTAATATTTTTTTTCAGGCATTTAATTAAAATTTTTCAGAAGTTTTAATTTTTAAATAAGCTTATATATGTAATTTTATTGTTAGTGATTTTTTATAATAACTATTTAATTTTAGGTTGTGGACGTTGATCCATTTTGGACTCCCCGCACTGAGGAAGAATATACTCATTTTGGTGAAAAAGCAGATGTTGAAAATCGAGCTAGGAAATATATGAATAGTGTACGGCGACGTAAAGGACTTTCAGTTGATGAGAAAATTGTTGAACATGCTGAAAAACAAAGAACTTTGAATAAGAAAAAATAATCCTTTCAACTATGATTGTTATGAATAGAAAAGCAACCTTTAGTGCTGCCATCTGTTTGTTGTATTTATATTTATAATAAAATGTTTTTAAAACTTGATTATTCTGTTGAGCTGTTTTTGAAAGACAATAATAACGTGATACATACTTTATCTATTTTCATTGCAAATAATTCAATGCGCAGTTTAATTGTTTCATACATAATTCTTAGTCTTATATTTATATCCCCTATTTTTAATGATTTATAAAATCGTTCTAAGAGTTCGTATTGGTAAAAGCTCAATTCATCACTAGATGTCACCACCATATGATGAATAAAACTTCAGCTTAGGATAGATTTTTTTTAAAAGTTGGGGAACTCCGCTTTCTTTATTGAACTTAAAATGATAGAAAAAAAGAATTTTTTTCTTCTTTGAGATAATTAATTTTTAAGTTCAATATTACCTAGTCAGAATGTATTTTTTTACTTAGGGTGGGAGCTAACTTGAATTTATTTTAACGGTCATCTAATTTTCATAGTTGTAGAAACCTTATTCACCTCCTTACTGTGTCTTTCATCTGTTAGCACACCATTGAGACTAATACAGCATTCAAAATGAAAAAAATTAAGAATTGCTAATCCGTTTTTATATTCAAAATTAATGTTTTTCATGTAAAAACATTTATAAAAATTAAAGGTGGTTATGTTTAAATTAGTTTTACTACATTTTTTGTTTTAAAATTCTTTAAGAAAATAACAAAAATATGATGGATATGAAATATTATTAAAAGGGTGCATAGTCAATTTTTTTTTCACAAAAAAAAAAAAAAAAAAAAAACAAAAAAAAAANAAAAAAAAAAAAAAAATAAGCAGCTTTTAGCATTTTTAAGTACTTGAAATATAATTTTAAGCACTTTAAAAAAAGTGCAACAATGAATTCTTTGTTATTGAAAATCTTTCTTATAAATTTACCAAATCAAATCAAAATTTTTAATTAGTCATGATAATAAATAATTTTTTTTTGGCAATGAACTCTATTTTAGATTTTATTTACCACCATAAAAACATTTTATACATAACTTTTAAAATATGTTCAATCACTTAGTAATTGATAATTACTATATTCAATTACATAAAAATATTAATTTAATTTCAAAATTACTGTCACTTTCTTTTATTAAAAAAAATTATTAGATGTATTTGTCAGAATTCATTAAAAATTTTTATAAATGTATACTAATTAAATGCATTTATAAGATTAATATTTTTGATCATATTGAATTGCTAAAGATGTGTCGACAATATATGTGAACAAAGACATAAATGAATGCATATTAAAATGTAAATTATTGAATGACCACTATTAAATTTTGTTCAATACTTTTCTAATCAAAGGATTGAAAAATATTTTTAATAATTTTGAATTAAAAATTCAGTGAGTAATTGCAGCGAAACATTATTATATGGTCCCTATATTTATAAATCCGAGATTACTGAATTGTTAATTTCAAATGTTTTTAAATCAAATGATAAAGAGATGAATCAAATTGTTTTTATGACAAATTTGAGTCAGATAAGATTTCCTATTGCATTTGCTTAGTATGAAATAAGTGAAAGATCCTTCAATTTATATTCTTTTAAAATCTTGCCTGGAATATTTTTTGCATTTTTTTTTCTCCATAAAATTAGTCTTGAGCACTGCAAATTTAAACAGCAACTCCAGGAAAATAAGACAAAGAAAAGCTAAAAATATTTAAGGCAATTAGTGGACTGTCACTTAGGTACTAACTCTTGTGATTATAATATCATAATTAATTTTATTCTATATTAAATCAAATCTATAAAGATGAAAATTTCAGAGTGAAGTTCTATGTTTGCTAACTGGTATGGATTCACATGAAAATATTAATGAATGATCCCCAAGCAATGGTCAAGGATTGAAGAAAGGATTTATAAATAGAACAGTACAATAATTTCATGGACTTACCTATTATAGAAAAAAATGGCATTTCATCAGCAAAGAAATTATCAGAAAAATTAATTTTATTTTGTATTAGGGAACATATTTGGTAACGCTTAGTTGGTCCCTGTAATCAGCAAAAATTCAAGGGAAATTTAGTTCAATTTCAGAAGGCAGGAAATGAAGTCTGAAGTCGGGAGTTTCTCGCAAAATTCTGCGAGTTGCACGTTTGAGTGTAGGAATCTATCCTAATGAATTTAGATTTGTATATGCGCATGCGAACCCATTAGTTTACAAGCAGAATAAACTATTTTTATAATTTTTTTTTTTATCATAAAAATGTTATATTTGAGCAAGTCAAAAGAAAGAATTTTAAATTACAGTGGAGAAATATTACAGAGCTAGAGATAAAAAAAAAAAGGAGTAAACAAAATATTGGATCACCAATATTATTTTGCAGAATAGTTTAATAACAGAAAGATTTTAATTCTTCGCCATCATATTGCTTTTCTTAGCTATATATTTCTATTAAGAATTGGCAAAATACAATCCAAAGTTGTAATGTTGCAGGAATAAGGTGTGACAGCATAAATACTTATACTTAAACTTTTTATTTCGATTTTCAATAACTTTTCGTCACAAGAACTGTCACAAGCTAATGACATAACATTTTACAAAAATATTAAACTAAACTTATTTTCCCCAATCAAGCATTGTTAAAATGAGGTGACACTTTTCTGATTATAATTTCTAACAAATAATAATTTTCAACTAATTTGAGTCTTATGAAATTCAAAAATTCATTTGAAATAGTTATATTGTAAGAACATGTTAAATATTTCTCAATATCATTTGGAAGTACCAATTTTAGCAAATAAATACCATAACGATGAAAATACCACAGACATTAAAACTATTTCTTCATACATAATTTTTTTAATGGCAAAGAATAAAAGAAGAAAAATAAGATATTTTAGATATATTAAAAATTGCATGGGAATAACGTTTTAACATTATAAGAGAGATTTATTACACTCAATAATAAATAGAAAAAATTGAAATAAAAAAGAACTAACAATCATATGAAGACTAAGCAGAAAAAACGGTTTATGCCCATGAAAGCCAATTCTCAGAAAAATGAGTTTAAAGTACTGAGATTGTTATCTGAGAAAAAGGAATTTAAAGTACTTATATTGTTCAAAGGTTAGCATATGATTGAAATCGTAAAAATACAAATACACGTGAATATCACAAGCATTTATTTACATCCTTCAAGAGTTTCAAAACAACAATTCTTGATGTTGAGAAAAATAAAATTTAAAAATCAGGTTGGACACGAACCATTTTTCCCCCTCAAAATTCCTCTGCAATCGAAATTTTCCCAGAACTCCTGATGTCTTGTTCACTAAAATTTTCTTTGTTTGCCTCATCTGCACGTAGACAAAAACCATTTTCCCCCATCATGGTCCATCTTCAAAGTGTAATAACGGTAAGAGAGAACTGATTTTCTATGTCAGTGATTCGTTAAAACTTAATCGTCATTTTTGTGAAAAATAAACTTAAACTGTTCCTCCCCCTTGGTCATCATACATCAATTACTATGAGGGTGATTCAAACCCAGCATTATTGAGTAAAGAGTTTAACAGTGCTTCATTAGAAAATATTAAATTGTTTAAGGAGACAGGATAGTCAGAGACTAAATTTTCAACAGAGTTACTAAGTGAACCCATGATATTATCAAGATTAAAAAGATGTGGTAGTTGATTAAGGTTTTCGTCAACTGAATCAACATTTAAGGGTAAATTTACAGGTTGTAAGGAAGAATAAGGAACAGAAAGTGTTTTAGGGAGACTAGATGACAAAGAAACAAGGACATTTGTTTGTTCAAGAAGCTCTCCAGAATAGCGTTTATGTTCAATATTAGATAAGTCAGTTGATACCAAGTTTTTAGATTTTGGCATAGAACATAAAATATATTTATTATCTATTAATAACTGATCATCTAAATCTTGGGTTATAATGGAATAAGTTTGTAATGGATTAGGATATTCTTTAGCTGCAGACTTAGGCACAATAATTGCAGGGATGTTTTGAAGTTGTGGCTGATTATAGTTTGCTGTATTTAATACATTAGATGTAGTAAAATTATTTAAACTGTTATGATCGAGATTTGTTGATATGGATTCAGAACAGATATGTGGTAAAGTCTGAGATACACATTGAGTTTCTTCATTAGTTGCTAAAGGCTCTTTGTGAACTTTCAGAACAGATACACTGTCATCAATAACATTCGAGGCAGGTTTGTCTATAGAAGTTGTCATTTCAAGCATTGAAGTACTATCAGAAGTGAAATTGCTGCCAATAAAATTTGTAAATGGTTGTTCGACCACTGATGATAAAGAAATATTTTCTGCAAAACTTACAAGTGGTAGCTCAACACTTGCTGTTACTATTGTTGAACTGGTTGTCTCAGGTGGCTTTGAAGTTTTTAAAGCCATAACTGGTGGTGTTACTAGGGTAGTTATTAGAGGCATGGTAGTTGTTTGAGACGGAATCCTACCTATTAAATTTACAGCTGAATAAGGTAAATTTACATTTCCAATTGAAATTTGGTTTGTAAGAGTTGTTATAGGATTTTCAAAAACATAAGGTAGCACTGAGGTGGAGATATTTTTGGTAGAAACAGTATCAGTTAATGTTACCACTGTATGTCCAATTGTTTTACTCCGTGAATGTAATACAGCAGCTTCAGATGTTTTATCATTATAAGGTACACATAAGCCATTTGAAGCAAGTATGCTCTCACTATTTGAATTAGGTATATCAGATGAAGAAATTACTTCAGGTTCTAAAATCAAATTATCAGTATTGTTATTGTTACTAAATTGAATGGGATCATCACAAGACTCTAGAACATCATCTAACATATTTTCATTCAGTTTATCCGTCTGTGCAAGTTTATCAAAGTCAACATGCTTACAGGAAAGCTTATGTCGTTTCAAATGAGACAGTCTTTTGAAACTACAAGAACAACTGCATTTGTAAGGTTTATCATCACTGTGAATTTTCTTGTGGCGCTGTAAATCACGGTTCACTTTAAAGCTCTTATTACATATATTACAAAGGAATTCCCTTGTCTCAGAATGGATGAAAGCATGGTGATCTTTTAAGTTTCCATGACTTCTGAATATTTGATTACACAGTTCACAAGCAAAACGCTTGGTTTGTGAATGTATTTCTGAATGTCTTTTTAGATTTGCTTTACATTTAGTGCTATATGTACAATGATCACATTTTAAAGGCTCTTCATTGGAATGTAGAATGTGTACATGACGCTGAAGGTCTTGCAAATTAAAAAATTTTCCCTCACACTTTTCACAATCATATTTTTTTCCAACCATTATCTCATTACTCAGAGAAACTTTCTTTAAATGTCTAATTGTTTTTAAGTGCTTTGTAAATGTTTTATTGCTGTAATAATTTTTATTACAATCCAGACATTTGAGAGGTTTTTCACCTGTGTGTACTCTTTTATGAACAATTAAATGAAGTGGACGATTAAAGCATTTATCACAAATTTCACATTGGTGTCTTTTGGATACCCTTACATCATGCAAATCATGTTGATGTTTTTTCAATAATTTATAAGTAGTATATGTAATGTTGCACAGCTCACATACATGCTTTCTATGGATCATCATATGTTGATTATATAGTTGGGTATCCGCAAACATCTTATTGCACAAGTGGCATTTATTTTGTAAATGTATTTTCATATGTTCTACATCTGTAACTTTATCTCCACATTGGTTACAAGTCGCAGTAATGTGACTTTTCGTGTGTAAATTTAGAGTTTCTTTTTTATCGAAAGACTTTTTGCATATAGCACAGAGGTATAACTTATCAGGACCAGTCACACTGTGAACATTTTTTAAATGTTTACAGAGTTCTTTATACATACTAAATTGTGCATCACAATAATTGCAGTTATTATGGTTGTGATTCTTTAAATGTTCATCTAAAGCACTTCTCTCTTTAAACAGCATCAAACACAAATGGCATTTATATATTTCAGATTCATTTAATAGTGCTTGTGATTTAGTAACAGTACACACATGATTTTGACATTTTTCAACTGTATCAAAGTTTCCTTTACAAAATCGACAAGATACAACAAATTTGGAAATAGTAGAAATATAGCAATTTTTTTCAATTACTTTTTTATTTGATTTGCGAAATAAACTAATTTGAGGATTCACTGTGTTTATGTTTTGAGATCTCTTACTAATTCTTTTATTTAAAATACATACTTTTTTCTCTGCATCATTTTGTCTATTAAGACGTCTTTCATTGATTGAAAAATGTTCTTCAGTCTGTTTTTCATGTTTAATTTTTAAATTTGTATTTAGGGTATTAGCACACATGATTAACAGTATGAGTTCAACATGGTGATTAAACTATATTAAATTTATCTTGCACTTAATGCCACCTGTAATAATAATAATAAATAAATTTTAGAATAAAGTTTTATAAAACAAATTTCTTTGTAAATAAAAATTGTAATCCTATTTTGAAAAAGAAACATTAAAAAAGGGGGCAAAGAAAAACATATTAAATAAAATACATTTGCAGCAAGTATAAGAAAAGCAAAAGAACTTAGCTGGTATTAAGTGGTTCCATAAAATTTGTAACACAGAAACAGCGAAACCATTTACAGTAAAACCAGAAAACAGCAAAACCAGAAACCAAATGAACTTAAAATTTAAAAAATGTAAATAGATTGGCCATGTTCGATGCAAACCTGAGAAATTTCAAGTAAAATAAGTTTTTGATTGGAACGCTCTAGGCAATAGAAAAAGAGGAAGACCTTAAAATACTTAAGGCGATCATAAATAAATTAATTGAATACTTTTCTTTTCTTATACTTGTGATAGCCTATTTTTCAATAGGCGAGTCATGGAAGGTGGCAAAATAGCTAGCCACAAATAGAATGAGAGGAACAGCAGGGTTGCCACAGTAAAAAATGAACAAAAATAGTTGCTTTCAGTAAACTTAAGCATGAAAATAGTTGCCTAAAATTATGAAAATAGTTGCCTGAACAGGAATAAAAATTTATCAAAAATAGTAGCCAAATAACTAAAATTATAGCTTAATTGTCAAATACTATTATTAGGACAGGGTGATTTCAGAAATTTTAAATCGTGATACATCGTCAGTTACACATCACAATATAGTGATGTATCACAATTCAGCATATGTTCAAAAATTACCTACAGGAAATCTTTAAATCAATCAAAAATAAATAAAAAGGAATAAATCTAGTACAAACAAAAATATTAATTCTAAACATATTCAACTATGACATCAATATTATTGCTTAATTTTTTCAATTAAATTAATAAAGAAGTCAAAGTAAAAGCAAACCCAAGATTTATTTCCTTTTTCTTAAATTAAAAATGATTTAAGATTTATTGGTTTAAAAATAATAATACTGCAAAATTATTTTACATACATGCATTAAAAATTAAAAGAAAAAAAAAGAAAGTGGAAAACAAATCAAAGAAATGTTCACTTCAGAAAAAAAAACTTTTTTTTATTTATTATTTGTTGAAAAAAAAACATGCTTTTGAAACATCATTAGACTCTTTTTTACTTACTTATTTAAAATAATAAAAAGTAGTATTAACTAATGGTCAAATTCTGTACTTAATAAATATAAAAATATTTTAACTTATTTATTATTATTTTCATTTTTGAAAACAAAATCGACTAAAGATTTATTTGTTTAAAAATGATACTGACTATCGAACAAATTATAAAACAAACAAGTATTGAAAGAATTTTAATAAAAATTTTTAAAATAAAAACTTTAAGTACTAATATTAAATTATTAAAAACGTCAAAACATTAAACTTTTTATTTAATTAAAAAAAAATTTTGTTTTAACTAATAGCCAATTTTTTTTAAAACTTTGTTTTTATTTTCTCAATAATAGAAGCAAATTAAATAAAGGTAAGCTTTGTTTAATTTTTTTATAATTGAAAATGACTGAGCATTTATTGTTTGAAAAACAATCAAATTATTATACTTAACTACATTTAATAAATTTAAAAAAACTAACTTTTTATAACAAAGTTAAATACAAAATACCCCTATTAAATTGTATCACTTAAAATAAAAAACAATAAATCAGTGATTTGAAAATCAATGATTTGATCTATTGAGTTCAGAACGAAAATTTAAGATAACAGCGATTGTGCAGCAATCGCAAAGTAACAGTAGGTCTACTAAAAATAATTGACAGGAATCATTAAACCCAGACAGAAAAAAATGGTATGAAATAATGCAGAACGAAACGATCTCTGCAAAAGTCTCACTGAAAATAATTTACAAGAAACCCGACAATTATTTCCGACGAAATAAAATGCACAACGATCGCAAAATGACTTAAGTCCCATTGAAAATAATCTTCAAAAAACGCAAAATCCCAAAGACAAAAATGGACATAAAGAAATATGCATTGCGTTCTATATTACAATGCTGATCCTCGCACGAAACCGGGAGTTCTGATTCGCTCTTCGTCATTCAACATCACAAAACTAACATCTTAATAGCAAAACGCTATCTACATCTCTGCAGCAAGATAAAATCAAAATCGTCTTTGTTAGTTCGGTAACAGCGTTAGCCTAGTCAAGGATCCTTGCATATTAAATCGTTAAACTGTGATTGTAATCTAATTCCGGCGGCTTAAATCAGATTTCTGATGCATCGTCCAGGGTTGGGTTTTTGACGTCAAAAAGTGGTTTTTGACATGACAAGGGTATAATACTGGTTTAAACTGTCAAAAACCTGTCAAAAACTGAAGTTTGCCCAGAAAATACATAAACTTCAAAACTACCAACAGTTGCTATGCATTATATTGAAATTTAATTATACTATAGGTAATCAGCAGGTTTTAAAATTTGTTTTAATTAAAATTAAGGTAAAATAACAGATTTAAAATCTCAGAAATTTATATCGCAAATTGTTTAAATATTTAAATTTGATTTGATTAAAAAATTGTTTAAATATTTATATTTTAAAAAAAAAAAAATATTTTTTTTCGATATTTAAGAAAATTAAAAGTTTATTACTATGCATTTTTGACATATAAGAAACATATAACTAATATTTATAAGGAACTTACAAGTTATGTTGTATAAATACAAACTTGGTACAAGTGTATAAAAATTTTCTTTTAATGTTATACCGAATATCTTTATTATCCAGTATGTTAATTTGAATTTAAAAGTAGTTATATTTGTGAATAATGATAAATATAATTCATATTGTTTATTATATTTATTTATAATTATTACACTTATCATTTTAAAACAATTTTTACCTCTTAATTTTTTTTTCTCCACTTGTATTAAGAATACAAATAATGCATATCTTGAAAGCAAGAAGTAATTATTCAACAGCTGAATATTTAGATATTCAACAAAACTATATAGTATTCAGCAAAATGAAATTCACAAGTATTTGGATAAGCTAAATTTTCAGCATAGCAAATGAATAGGCTGAATATACTGTAAATCGACACTGTATCTGTGTATTTAACAGAAAGCACTTAAATTTGTATTTCTTTAAAAGATGTATGTCTAATGTACAAAACTGCTATGTTTATCTTTAAAAATGTCTAATTTTTAGTATAATCTATACTATACACTAAATTTGGTTATAAATAATTTTAATAATATCACTGCAGATTTTCAATAACACATGAAAATGAATACATAATATTACAAAAGATGTGAGTTTTCAAAAGTACAAGATTTTGGTTACTATTCAAAATATAAGTGTTTCTTCAAAATTTTAAATTTATTTTTTCTTGAACATATTTAGAAACACTATCCTTTATAAAAAATATATAAATTTTATGTATTAATTAAATTTTACATATGAATATAGGTTTTTGACATTTTTGACAGTGAGGTTTTTGACATGACAGTTTAAACCATGGTTTAAACCATCAAAAACTGTCACATGTCAAAAACCAGCCAACCCTCGAAAGTCACTACATCGGCCTACTGATATATGCATTAAATCGATTTTTCGCGATACATCAATTTACCGCCCAGTCCTAACTATGCTCCAATTAAAAAAAAGTTTTGTACAAATATAAAAGGTATACATATTAAAAAATAGGTACCTAAATAAAAGTCGAATTACAATAAAATATGAATGTTAATAGAAGGAAAAAACAATTAAAAATAACAAAACTGCCCCTCAGAGAGAACATATACTTTATTAAATCCAATGGAAATTTAAATTTTTGGCTCTTTGGACATAAATGATTGTATAAAAGTTAGCTTTCTTTTATTAAGGTTCTGAAAAGTAACGTTCATTTTTGCGAAAAAACTTCTCCAAGAGTAAAAAAAATCTCCTAATAGTCGCCTATTCCTGAAAATAGTTGCTTTTTTAGCCTTTTCAGGCAAAAAAAGTTGCCATAGTCGCCTAAGGCCGAAAATAGTAGCAAATAGTCCAATTCAGAGTGAAGAGGAATATGTTTGTATGTAATCAGTAGTAATGAGCAGTTTGTCAAATTGGGAAAAACTTTATTCTCTAAATATCTTTCACTTAATTCTGCATGCAATAGGCTCTTGATTGGTACAGAAAGTTCTTGCAGGAGAGAACTATTGCTAACAAATACTAACCAGGCTAAACTAATTTATGAGATCTCTTTATGAGATCTTCTCAAATCTTATTCATTCACACTGAAGGACTTCTTTCAACTTACTGAAATTTGTTTTGCCATTTTTTCAGAACATGAGCAGTGCTTTTATCCAAATTATAAATGCCATCAATCTGAAGCATCCTAAACACTATGAGTGGGAAATGAAATAGATTATGAGTTTCAAACTTGTTTGCTAAACAAAAACCCCATTTAATGACATAAGACAAAAACAAAAAAAATTAATACATAGAAAAACTATGTGCAAAGCATTAAAGTTGAACAAATATATATATATATATATATACACACACACATACATATCGATAATTTAAAGTGAAATAATGTATTTGTCTTTGTGGGTGGTAAGAGTTGATAAGAGATGGAATGAGATTTCTCAGGTAGGTTTAAAAATTATTAAAAAATAGTTATTTAAAATGATACTTAAAACTAATAAGATAATGTAATAAAGACATAATAAAACTATATATTAAAAAAATAACTTATTATTTTTATAAGGAAAAAACTGAAATATTCATTAATTAAATCATTTTAGCCTGTTTGCAAAGAATTACTTTGACACCTTGCTTCCCCAGTAATGAGTCAAGGAAATCCAATAAAGAATTACGACTAGACACAGGATTTGCAAGCTCCTGAACAAATTTGCAGCAGACTCCTTCCTCAAAACATAAAAGTTGTTTCATATTTTGTAAGCTTTTTTCTTTGAAACACTAATTTTCTTAAATATAAAGTATTAATTACAAATTTTTACTGTTTATTTTAATTAAAATCTAAATTTTTGTTGGTTTAAATTTAATTATATGCCTTGTTATTAAAATTAGAACACACTATGGCACAATCGCGGCTACACGGTGACATTGTCACTTGGTTCTTGCCGAAAGAATTGTCTTTTCAAAAATAAAAAATTTTGGTTATATTTTTTAAAAAAAATTTCGAAAATTTTTCTCTCTAAAATTATATTTAAAAGATGCCTTTTTAGAGCATCAGAGGAGAAAAAAATTTCAAAATTTTTTGATCCTTATTTGAGAAGAATGAAAAATAAAAAATATTGAAGCAAAATATTTCTTTTCTGTAGAAATGTTTCAAAGATTTTTTTCTGCCACAATTATTTTCAATAGATGTCTTTTTCACGCATCAGAGGGGAAGAAATGCTCGTGATTCTTTTAATTCTTATTTGGGATGGAAAAAATTGCTTTTGTTTCGCAGATTTTATGATTTTTAATTATTTTGCTTAACTGATGATGATTTACGAAATGCAAAAAAAGAAATAGCTAGTGTGTTTCCCTCTTACAAAGTATGAGAATATTGCTCATGATATTTGAATAAAAAAATATTACATAATCATTTCAAAAAAAGTACAAACAATTTCATCATAGCCAAATAGGCTTTTTTTGTAAATACAAAGTTTCTGCTACTTTAAATTAAAAAAATTAATTAATGTATATAATTATAAGCTTTTTTTGTAAGTACAAAGTTACTGTTACTTTAAATTTAAAAATTTAATTAATGTATATTAATTATTATTAATAGTATCTCGCAGAAAGATATTAGTGCTAGAGTGGTTTGTCACAGAAAGTCCAAAAAAATTCTGCCACAGGGTTAGAACGTCAAGGTTACATTTTATACCTTTGTCACCTAGGTAACAATGTGACAGGCAGCAATGCTACTCTTTCTATTTACCAGCAGTTATGAAGTATCTAACTCTGAACAGTATATTATTATAATAAAAACATAGTGGTATGGGTGAAAGAGTGAGATTTGTGGATACAATGGCAATGGAGAGAGGAAATTTGGGGAAATTGCATAAGCTTTAACTACCTATTCTATTTACAAAGACTATTTAAACATGTACTAAACATGAAGAATTCAATCACTCAAGGTGCAGAACATTCTAAGCATAAATATAAATACAGACAATTCCTAACATCAGATGAAATTGTCATTATGGCGAGATTGTTATAAAAGCAAATACATATGTTTATTGTTAAAATAGTACTGAAATAGAATAGAATGAGAAATGAAATAGAATGAAATGAAAATAACAAAAAATTAAATAACCCCCTTAATTCATGTGTTCTTGCATTCATATATTGTATTTTTAAATACACTGTCTTAATGCTTCTTAAACGAAAGAGTTTTGGTTCCTATCCTATTTTGTCTGTTGCAAACAAGCAGCTTTTCCTCAAAATTATGTTTCGGAGATTAGATTTGCAATTTTCATGAAATAATTATTAATATTTATAAATGAAAATAAATAAAAGGCGTCTAATGAAGTATGAATCACAATGTAAAATCAATATAGCTGATTAATATAATTCATAAGATAAATTCACAATATAAATATACATAATATAACTGACATAATAAAATTATAATATAAATATAAACTGACATAATATAAACAAACTGACATATATGAGTCGCTCAGAAGCCAATGCGGTTAAGTCCAAAACACAAAAATTGAGAAAATTAATGTTTTTTGATACATTAGTTTTTAAAATTCTTGGTTTATTAATTTAATTAGAAAAGTGTATAAAGTCATTTTTCGAGATGTAAACTCTGCAAAAAAACAAGATATGTACAGGATGTGTAAATAAAAACGTAAGTATTTATTGAAATAATGACAGCATCTTAAAAATTTTCGGACTTATACCTTTTGGCAGCTGAAAAAGATAAGAAATTTATGTAAAAAAATATTGATAAAAGGTGGACTTATTCACAATGGCTTCTGAAATTATTATACAATATATTTAGAAGCTATTAAAAAAAGGGCTGTCTAACCTAGAAAAAAGAAACCAACGAGTAAATCCTTTAATAACTAAGAAGATTATTATTTATTTCATCAAAATTTTCAAAAAGCAGAAAATATCAAAAAATGGACTTAACCGCATTGGCTTCTGAGTGGTTCATATATGACTAAAACCAATGTAACTAAAACCAATATAACTGACTAAATGCCTGATTTTTTAGAGAAGACATTGAAGTAGACTATGAGAGAGGTCACAATGCATTTCCATGCTATCTTAAATAAAAATTAATAATAAAAATGAGTAAAGCAAACAAATTGGGGACTGGCTTGAAAATAACCACTCGCCACATGGCGTGCCAACAAAAGAAAGTGGCAACCTAAATAAACAACCAGTCACTTCTTACCCTTGTTCTTTTTCAATTGTTTAATGATAAAAGTTCATCAGTGTAGAAAGAGAACCCGGATAACAAAATTTTGATTAAGATGTCCAATAATGTAACAATTCAAAGTTTTGATCCTTCAGAATCCACCAATTGGTGGTGAAAGATTCACAGGAGAGTTCCCTAACAATTCACATATTTCAAAGTTGAAATGTGTAGACATTAAATGCATTTTGCCTTCCTAAATATTTTAAAAAAGTTCTTTAAAGTCATTATTTTTTAACAAAACTTTGTTATACACTTATAATATTTTTATTGTCTTAAATTATTTCCAATACGAACACTTTTGAAAAAAATAATTTTATCCAAGTAATAAAATCAAAAGAACTAATCAATATCAGTCACGAACTCATTAGGTATGAAGAAAACTTAGTTATTAGAGTCTATCGGACACTGGCTACTAACTGAAAATTTTAACTTTCAGGTGTATTGAGGACTAAGTAATAATTTAAGAAAAAAGAATGCACAAAAGGAGAATATCTTACATTTTTTTGGTTGGAGGTAAGTCTTTAACCCCAAGTTTGGAGGCACATTCATAATGCTGAAACAATTAATTCTGAAAAAAGAAAAAACTTTTAGAAAAAGTTAAAGGAACATTGCAAGCATTTAAATAAAGCAGTTATACAGAATCGACAATTTTACGCTACAACAAAATACTCTTCAATAGAAGATGACTCACATTTCTACTTCTAACATCTTTTAATTTCAACAGAGTTCCAGTTATCTAGTTTTTGCAGAGAGAACTACAACAAACAGGAAACATTCTTAGGTCGGTTGAAACTAAAATTTTCCGCAATAAAACTAAACTTTTTCTTGTAGATTTAACATAGTTTATATCAAAGTATTTTTATCAAGCAATATCTCACAATTATAAGAATGTATACCTTTTTATTGCCTTTAAAATTAATCTATTTAAAATTGTAAATATATTGATAAAAACCATTTATATGTGAAATAATTAGATTTTAAATCAATTAAATTTAATCAATCTAAAATAATTCTTTTAATAATATTATTAGTCACATTTAAAAGAAATACCTTTCTTGAAAAATTAAGAGAAACAGACATAGCATATGTGAAATTTTAAAAATTTTATTTTACTACGAATGAAAATATAAATTTTTTTAGTTTATTATGCATAAAAGGTTGAAACAATAAATTTCATTATTCAAATATAAAAAATAAAAAAAAAATTTCAAATTTGCAAAATCTTTGAGAATTTAGTAATGTTGGACAAGGGTGACTACAATGGTTTCAATTTTTAATATATATATTTTTTAATTATACAAGGTCAGATGGGGTAACGTGGGTAAAATCAAACTTTGTTTGAAGAAGTCTAAAACCAAACCATTACATTTACTCTACTGAAAATTTTGATGAGAGGTATAATCAAGAGCGGTATAACTACATCTACGAACATGGCTGTAATATACCTGTCCTTGTCATTATTTCACGTAGGAATATCAACGTTATATTATTGAAAGGAACCAATATCATATACTTACTAGCCTGCGAAGTAAAAATTTTACAAACATAAAAAAATGTTTAAACACGAGAGCCTGAAATGATATTACAATAATAAGCCTTGAAACAAGTTAAAGAATTATACGAAAAAACGTATTTCAGATGTCTAAATTTAATATCCATGGAATTGCTTCGGCAACTTTTAGCATATTCATTCTTGAATATCATAATATAAAGTAAATATTATTCACTTACAACAAACAAACACTTTCAAAACATTTACAGTTATTTATTTCAAAATTTTCAACTTTTCTTTTTCATGATTAAAGTTAGATGACAGGAAGAGACAAAAAAAAGTACCATACTTTGCATTATATAATTTTTGTTCAAGAAAGCATAATATCTATAGAATTAAGAAAATTTCCAATGTACTTAAATTCATTTCTCTATGTTCAATTCAATGAAAACCAAAACAAAGATGATTCAAAACATATAATAAACAATGCCAGATACAAAATGTGATATCGATGAGTACACGATTAATTTTAATTCGGATTTTAAAGGATATTCTCACTAAAATCAGTCAACGCACTTCTGATAACTATGAAAGAAAAGGCGAGCCTGATTGGTGAGTTTTTCAATGGCGGGGGGGGGGGCAAATTGCTGGGGGGAAAGAGGGGGACCATTAAAGTTTCGTTTTCACTGTATGGGATTCACGTGCCATTGATCGACATAGAAAGAATAGAAGAATCTGATTGGTTTTGCGGCAAATATATTTCAGCAATCGTGATCGCAACGTTTAAATAAGTCTTACAGGGAGAAGACAGTTTCCTTGTCTTAACCGTCCCCTTTCCTCATCTCCACTCACTCTCCAGTTGAATGGGAATGTATTATGATATTTCCCTCCTCTATAATATTTTTGACATTGAATTCTCAAAAATGTCCCACAGTGGACTGATCGCTAAGACACGGTTCCCAGCAGATCACCGAAGTCAAGCATCATTGGCTGCGGGCAGTGTGCGGGTGGGTGACCACTTGGATCAGTCTGCGAAGGAACCGAGGGTGTGCGGTATTGGTCCTCGTTAAACTGTTCTACTTCTCGACTTTGCGTGCAGGTCGTAGGGCTACAGAGGCGGAGGTGCCATGCCCTCTGCGGAGGATCAAAACTGTGATGGCACATTTTTGGATCATCCTCAGGGATGTTTCCCAGACAGTCGCCTATACCCCATAGTCCAGCTCTAGTGCGACGTAAATGAACAAATCAAATTAAAAAGACATCAAGCTGTAAATACTGTGGTAAATGCCAAACCATCAAGCATTTACTAACTGAATGCAACAAATTTACAACACTCCATGGCAACGCTTTAAAAAACCAGAGAAACATGGGGTCGTGGTGCAGAACAGAGGGGCAAAAACAAACTATAAGAAATATCATTAAATACTGAGTCGAAGACATTATGTCCCCAAACGACAACATGGACCCCTGTTTACTTTTCCATAAATACTTTAACCCATTAGTTTTAAAATCATGTCTGCACCTCTCAGCCGCTTTGGCAGTGTTCTATTTTTGATTTTTTAAATTTTAACTTTGTTACTGTCCATAATGGCTTCGATTTTAATGATATTTTAATACCAACTAATACTTCGGTTTTGATTCCTATTTTTATCGTTTTCTTATTGATCTTGGGCACTGATACTTTTGTTTTTAGTGCTATTTACTATTTATTAGTTCCTGATTTACGCTGGGACATTTAATTTTAATTGGTATTTTATATTTATTTTTTAAATTTGATTATTTATCAAATTAATTTATTGTAATTTTAGCTTTTAATTATTTATTCTCTATTCATTTTTAACCATTAGCCTTTCATTTTACGGAGTGTTCTCCTTTAATGCCTTTGGACTTCAGCTCAGCTGTCTTCATTGTAACGATATCATCTGTATTTTATTGTCATTGTTATTTATTGTAACTGAATTTATTGTATTTTATTGTAATTGTCAAATTGTTCTTTCAATTCTTCCACTATGAAGCAGTGTTCCACCGACTACGGTCAGATAAGATGGACACTGCTAGGGACTAAAAATTTTTATATTTTAATATCTTATAGTATTCCGTGCTGTTGCCAGATGACACCTTTTGCAAATTTTTATCTTGGTTTTAATAAATGCCACGAGTGGAGTTTCGGTCGGCGTTGGGTTGGCTGGGCGTGCGTGCCGTGGGTTCGGGCTGAGGATCTCCTCGAGAGGCTGTCGTGACGGCGATTTGTAACATTCTAGTGCCCATTTCCTTGCACGGGATGATAAAACCAAGTTCTTAATCGCAAAAATAAATAGTATTTGAAAATAATCAGATCTGTTTTTACTCCGGAAAGGAAAAAAAAATACATAATAAAATTATTTATCGCTTGTTTTTAAAAGAAATAAAATATCAGTTATTACCATAAGTTTTTTAACATCTAAAGCTTATATATTGAAATGTAAAATCTTTTGCAGCTCTAATTTGTTAAAATTATTTCTAAATTTTTTTTTCTTATTATAGACTATCCACTACTATTTACCTTTTACCGAATAAGAAACAACTCTGTATATACGTTACAGCTTTAAGAAATTCTTCGTCGTGGAGGATCATCATTTGATTTGTGAAAATTAAGGAAAGTGGATTTAAAACATATTTAGAATTTTCCCTTCTCATCTCCACCCCTTCGACAGTTGAATTCGTTTTGGAAAGGAAAGGACTCTACCAACCTTTCACAAATTATCTCTCTGTAAATTCGGACCCTTTGCAAAATATTTTATCCATTAAAATAACGCAAAATTGCTTAAATATTATAAAAATACTCATAGCGTTCGAGTATAAAAATGTTCAAATTTAACTCATACTTTCACTAAAATGTTTTGCGCTGAAAAGTAATAAATATGAAGACATAAATTACGTAATTTAAATCGCATCTACTTATTGAAATTTAGTGAAAGCTTATTTTAAGTAACCGTCGCATGAAACTCAATTTCTGTTCTGAATAAATTTGCTTTTTGAATTTTGAAAATTTAATTTCCTTATTAAATGTTATACTAAGTCAAAATAATTGTTTGAAATTTATTTCAAGAATTGGGAGCATTCTTAGTTTTTCCAAAAAGTTGATTGCATAAACATAACCTGATATTTTTTAGTTGCGATGTTCACATTATGTGTAAATACTATTTTATTAAATGTTATATATTTTGCATAACTGTATGATCAATGTCTGCCCTGAACATCTTGATGTATAATGCTAGAAACGAAGCATTTCTCCCATACATTTTGATGCATGCTTAATAAAACTAGAAACAATGTACTAGTCTTTTATTGCTTTGATACATATTAAGAATTTTTGGAACTAAATTCTTAGATTTGGATGTCAGTTCTTTAGCGACATTTAAGTAACTAGGGGGCTAAGCCCCTTGTTCGCTGCAGATCACCAATGATTGGTTCGCAATAATTGCCTTTTCTTGGCAGAAAACAGTTTTTACTCACTTAAATTAATAAAAATTATTGGGTAGACTATATTTGAGGGTGCCCTTTGATTCTCGCCAAGTTGTGATCGTGATTGATCACCAAGCTGGGCGATGTTGAAACCCAATCGTGATTCTGAGTGGTTTAGATTTTAGCGTTATTTTTAAATGTTCAACGGTATATGTAATTTCAGAGGTCCGTTAGTTTTACTTTGGATACCGGCTGGCAACATTACTTTTGAATCTGGTCAATAAGATCGAAGATATGTGGGCAGTAATGAAAAGGGATTTAAGAAAAAAAAATGTCACCACTAGTCCGGTATTACAGACGCCATTTTCGATTCGTATTTCGTCGAATTTATGCGGCGATGGAGGTACACAGATTCTATTCATGATAAATTTAGACAGTATATAACTGTTATTAGATAATTCTGCGCACCTAAATCTGAGAATATTCAAGCTTAATGAAGAAGTGGGTTGTTTTTTTCCTTTTCTGTTTGCCCCTACTCCATTAATTTTTGCTTCGATTCAAAATCCTTTTTATTGGGTTTATTAAATTTGCTTATATTGGGTTCATTGCAAGTTTTGTCCGATGTTTTGTTGAAATTTTTCAATGTTTCATTGAAATATCATTATGTTTTGCCGCCATTCCTGTTATCACGGTGTTCCGCGCAAACAGGAATAGTGCCAAACATAAGTCGCCAATTTCGCCAAGGGACACCCTCAAGTATATTTTCCCCAAATTATTAACTCAACATATATGTACTAAAAGGAATTCCGTTTGCTTACGGATGTGTCTCTACTTCCCACATCCAAATATTACTATTTATTAGTATTATAAACATTTAGATCTCTTGGTGAACATAAGTGATTTTTCGAAGTAATAATTTCTTAAAATAACATTTATATTTTTATATCATTATATTGTTAAAACAAATTTGATGAGTTTACAAACATAATTTAATATTTTCGCTTATTATAGCAGTACTGGAAAATAACTTTAAATTAGATATACAGAAATATTTAAAGGAAAACAATGCCTTTACGACTTTTGTCAATTTTATGGTGATGGCAACCAAAACAATTCGCGATCGCAGCGCTCGAGTTCGCCCTCTAGGGAGCCTGTAAATATCAGACATTAATTTATCACGTTTTCATTCAGTTCCATCAGAATCCCTGGCAGAGTCGGTCGCCATTTTCTTTGCACGAAATAAGAAGCAAAATTTCCCCAAGGAAAAAGCCGAAAAACTTGAAAAAACTCTCCAGAACATTGTTAAATCTTTCAGAAACAGAACACGCCAAACATTTGAAGACAATTCCTCAATAACTTTCAACTTCTATTATCAACAAACTTGCAACTGATAACTTCCGATTTCGCTATCGCATACTGTTACAGATGTGTGTTTTAAGGTAAAATGCATTTCTTCTGTCTTCAATTCATTACAAATTAAACTGAAGTCAACATTGCTTTCGACATTCCAATAAATAAATGTGAATTCAGAACGTCAAGAACAGCAATTGTTATAGAATTTTCTTCTTTGTTATAGAACGATATATATTTCTGTATCTATATAATTCGGAAAACAACAATAAAGAATCATCCAAATTACTTGAAATAGTGTCATTTGTGCTGATTAATAAATTTTTTATCGTTTTCTTGGTAAGTATTTTTTAGTTTTGAAAGAATAGATAATTTGAACTAGAATTCAGCTGTTCTGTTTTTAAGCTACATATTCAAATTCATATCGAGATCTTACAATTATAAAATTTTGATGTGTGGTATGTTATCTAAAAGTAATAAAGGGATAATCTATGTACATATTATTTGAAAATAAAACTTTCAAACGAAGAACATTTCATTTGGAATTCTGCGGATTTATAAAGAAGGTAAGTGTCATGATTTTAATAATAAAAAATTAGCTTGTAAAATTTTTTTTTCTTATTTGATAATAGTTCTCTACAGAATGCTTTTTTACGTCTGATTAAGAACTATAAGAATGAAA